TTTTTCCACTTATTTGTTTGTTTGTTTGTTTGTTTTTCCACTTATTTTTGCATTCATCAGTTGATTCTTGTTTGTGCCCTGACCAAGGATCAAACCTGCAACCTTGGTGTATGGGGACAGTGTTCTAACCACTTAGAAACCCGGCTGGGGCTTCATACATCAGTTTAAAAAAAGAGAAAAATCAACCACAAAGTAAAGCACTGTCATGGTAGGTTATAATAATAATAAGCAAATAGAACATTCTTCAAACATATTCCACCCAGGAGTCTCTGACATTTTTCCCGGACTGCTTTTTGTAGACTGCCACTTAAATCATCCTAGATAATTTGAAATATGCATTTCACCTAGATTAAAAATCTGCAGAGAGCTGATCATCCGTAGCAGGAGGCCACCTATAGACATTTGTCCTCGCAAAGTGACTGCTCTCCTCTGAGAATGAAAGAACTCAACAAATGAAAAAAAGAAGAAGAAGAAAAAAAGAAACTCTCTCTTAATCGAAGTATTCAGCCCTCATTTTATATAACATTAAAAAGTCCTTAATGGACTGCTACCTTGACCTCATTTTAATGCACATTGGGAAGATTGTGCATTATTGTTTCTGGGCTCATCTACGTGTTTGTCAAGAGAGCTGCATTTGACATGAATAGAGGTGGTTCAACAGACTGCCACAAAATTTGGAATTGGGAAGCGCCCTTCTAATTCAACCCCTTTATTCTGCAGAGAAGTGAAGTGACTTGCCTAGAACAGTGCATTCTCTGTTCAAATCAAATAATCATAAGGCCATCCCTGTATGACCTTAGTGCTCCTACCAATGAACCAACCGCACACACCGAGCTAATGTGAGAGGCAACTCAGATCCCTGTTCTAAGGGGCAATCCACTAAGAACCCCCAAACCTCTGCTCTGCCCCAGAACAAAGCTTCTTTATATGAATATTAAATAACCACTTCCTCAGTTTTGTGACACAGAGCTGCCTGTGTTTTCAGAGATATGGCAGACGCCATCTATACAACTTCCATTGTCCCTTCCACGGTGCACTGGAAAAATAGGAAGATTTGTCTTCTGCCGTCTCAACTCACCTTTCCCCATCTTGCTCTGCCTTGGTAGCCAGGTGCTGATATTAGTTAGCACAGTCAGCTATTTGCATTTTAAGTTTGCTATCTCTTTGTGTGGCATTAAAGGCACTTCCTCGTGTCGTAGCATGCTCTGAGCATTGGGAAGCAACTAAAAAGATGTTACTATAGAGATCCCAAGGCCTTCACCTGACTGCTGTGCCAATGACAGTAAAATGAATAGATTTTATGGGACTGGCAACAAGAGGTAAAGAGAGATCAAAAGAGAATGTGCATCACCCTGGCCAGTGTGGCTCAGCAGTTAGAGCATTGGCTGGAGCAGGCAGCGAAGGGTCTGGGTTTGATTCCTGGTCCAGGGCATGTACCTGGGTGACAGGTTTCATCTTCTGCCCAGTAGACGTGTTTGGGAGGCGACCAATTGATGTGTCTCTCTCACACTGATGTTTCTCTGTCTTTCTCTCTCCCCTCCCTCCCTCCATCCCTTCCACTCTCTCTAAAAATCAAAGGAAAAAATATATCCTTGGGTGATGATTAACAAAAACAAAAAAGAGAGGATGTGCATGGATGATGTCCTCCTCAAGGAGCTCTGATCACCCAGACCCTCTCCAGGTCAGATTAGTACAGGTTCAGTCCAAGCAGCTGCTGGGCCTAGATGGAAAAGTTCTGACCCTTTTTACAGTCTCTAGCAAAGACTCCCCCAATAGGCCTCTTTCTCCCCCACATCTGCCCCTTCTCATTCTGCTCCAAGTCTCTCTGATGACCATTTCACATCTTAATCCCTTTATAATCTTGTGTAACACAGAGCTAAATATTCTATATTATTTCTCTGATTGTGAAGTTTCTGATAAATAAGTGTTAGCTCACATCCTCTAACTTATAAAAGTATTGAGAATGAACTGCCTTGAGAATTAATCTGTTCCTTGTCACTTATGCAGAACTTTATTGAAATGACCTGAACTTTGGCTAAGTAATTGCATATGAAGGCTCCCTTTTGGACTTCTGTTCGAAATATTAATGGTATTCTTATTATTAGCTTTTTTCATTTGCAGAACACTAAACAGATTGCAATTTCTTTTTCAGGTGCATCTTCTCACTTGATCTCCTTTACTCTGTGAAATTGATAGGGCAGATATTATGATCCTTGAGTTACAGGTTAGGCCACCCGTTGAAGGTCACACAGATAAAAAGAGGTGAACTCCTTTCCCTTTCCAGGGGGTGCCCTTTCCACTGTGCTCTGCTGCTCAGAAAAGAAACACACCCTGCATTGAAAACAACTGATAACACACAGCTTCAAGCTGTTTCCCTCCTGAGAGAAAGAGGGCATTAATTCTTCACTTTTGTCAGCCTTTAGTGTGAAATCTCTAGCTAAAAGGGCAATTCATACAGGCACAAGTCATTTATGAGAAGCTCCTGTTTCCCCTCCACTCCAATACATTCTACTCCAGGTCAAATGCAAAACTTAGAGGGGATTTACACAGTAACGAAGAGTCCTAATAAAGCAGACTGTGTATTTATGTTTTTTGATTATTATGCCATAAAATCAGTTTATATTTGTATACAAATATTTATATATGGCTACAAAACCAAACAGTTCTCAGTTATATTCCTATTTTCAAACAACTTAGCCTGTGTTCTTACAATTACATTGCTCGATTAAATGTTTAATTTTATCTTAGTCATTGCAGTGGTATAAAGATCCCAGACCCATACATTATTATTATTTTTTTAATCACGCTACAAACTTATTTTAAAATTTGGCATATATCTTCATAGTACCAAGTGTTAGCATAGATTTTATCTCATAATGGCAATGATAAAATAATCATAAAACCCCAAAGTTACTAATATTTGTTCAAAGTATCATGAGGAAGCTTCTGGAAACACAGTGGAAATCAATAGAAGCTGAAGTTATAAGGATTAAAAGAGAATTTGCCTATTTTAAATGGTCTTTTACTAATAAGGGCCTGTAATTTAATATATTTGAATAAATGATGATGACCTGATTTTACAAACATAGATTATTCAAGTAGAAACTAGATAGAAGTTTGTCTTCATCCTAGAAGTTTAGAACTTTAAGAATTTGGAAAAAAAGAAAATTTAAAAAAGAAAACAAAACTATATATTCTTTATGGTGTGATTTTTAATCTTCAAGGTTTTTTCTTTACAATATGGAAAGGTGGTTGTTGTTTCTTAATCCTGTTTTTCCCATCTTCCTTAGAATGTGAACCCAAAAGATCAAGACTTGCTATTGTATATTCTTTTAACCCAATCTGGATTTCAGTATTCTATAAACCATGAGCCTTAAAAAATAACAACAACAACACAAACACAAACACAAACACCAACATTTAATGAGTAAAAGTTCAACTAATACATGGTTTAGTTCAATAGGATAAGCATTTATTAAATCTCCCTTCAGCACAAGACATTGGACCAACTGCTAGGGAGACAGCGAGGCAGTATTGATGCTCCCTGAAATGATCAGAAGGTAGGCTTTGCCCAAAGGCCCCAAGACTCAGGGATAAACTCCTTTACAAAAGAAATGTTAAAGGCTTACTGAAAGATTGAAACAAAAATGAACATGCAGTTATGCATATACCTGAGTGACAAACATTCACCTTCTCCCACGGCTTAAAGAGCAACTTCCTCATCACAGACTTTCCAAATGCCCACTGACTACATCAGAAAAGACTTTTAAGTATTGAGAAGCTGTCAAGCTCATGGCGATGGGTGTATGTTTTCTAAACTTAAAATTCTCACTTGAAAGCTCAAAAATTACCGTTGACAACAATAATTGTCCCTTGTTTTCCTGGAAGTGGCAGGTGTATGTTTTTAATGTCTGTCAAATACCTGTCTGAACAACCAAAGTTTGTCCATCGTTCTTTCAAGTAAAAAGAGTGTTCAATGAAAATAAAAGTGAAAACACTAGTTCAGCTTGCAATTCAAGCTCAGAAGTGTTTGCCTGGAGATAAACAGGGCACTTCGGTATTCAGCACACATGCCTTGTACATACTTCCTATTTTTCACACAGAATTTTAAGTGTTCCAAAGAGTTGGGCTTAAATTTTTTTATATATTATTTACTATATTTCCTGTGCTGTACATTATATCTCCACGACTTATTTATTTATATTTTTATCGTTGACACTATTACAGATGTCCCCCATCCCCTCCTTTGAGCCCCTCCACCCCGAACCCCCACTCCCGCCTTCACCACGCGGTTGTCTGTGTCCCTGTGCTATGCATATACGTTCTTTGGAGAATCTCTTCCAGTCCCCACACCCCCGCCCCTCTGAGATAATTTTTACTGCTTTATCAAGACCTCTTTCAAGTGACACTGGCTTTCACAGTTTGGAGCCCCTGCCTAGATGCACGATAAGATACCTGCACTTCACCCACCATTTTTGCACCATTGGTGCGAAAGTCAACACAGCGCGAGTCCAATAGCCTTAGCATTGCCATGAAAACGATTTTGACTTCGCAGACCCCTTGAAAGGGTCCAGGAACCTCCAGGGGGCTCCGCTTCCACACTCTGAGAACCACTGAGTGAGCAGACAGAAAGCACAATTCTTTCTCTTCGGTTATTTAATGCTAGAGGCTTATTTATTATTGTACGAGGTCCGATCACTGAGCGCTCAACGGAAGACACGCCAAGGCTGGACACATCCAAGAGACGCATTCCACCGCGAGCAGCTCCGGGCTCCGTTAGCGAGCAGACAGTCCGGGGGGGGGGGGGGGCCGGCTTGCGGTTGCCAGTGGCAACGATCTTCCGCGGGAGGGAGCGCGGCCATCGATTGGTCGCGCCTTGCAGGGGAGGAAGGACGCCGAGCGCGCGGTGGCCGCCGGAGCTCGGTGGCCGGGCGCTCGCCCGCTCGGCGATCCACTGGAGTGGCTGCCGCGGGCGCGGGCGGCGCGGGCAGGGAGGGAAGATGGCGGCGGTAGCGGCGCGCGGCCCGGTAGGGAAGGGGCGCGACATCAGCCTGGCGGCCCTGCAGCGCCACGACCCCTATATCAACCGCATCGTAGACGTGGCCAGCCAGGTGGCTCTGTACACTTTCGGCCATCGGGCCAACGAGTGGGTGCGTGCGGACGCGACGGTGCAGGCAGGCGGGTGGGGACGGGTCTTCCCGCCGGCTCGAGCCCCCGTGGGGAGGGGACGCGACGCCTGGAGGATGGAGGTGCACAGTAGTGGCTCGCGGGCTCCGGGCCGAAGTTGGGGGGCTTGCGCCCGTGGGCCTGGGGTTTAGGGGAGGGAGGCCGATCTGTGACACCCTCTGAAACGGGCAAGACTTCAGTCCCTGCACCACCCCACGTTGGGAGACGGCCGGCCAGGGACGGGACCCGAGAGCGGAAGGACAGCGAGGACCGCGCCTCGAGGCCGGAAGACCGAGGCGCTCGGAGGACGGAAGCGGGATCCGGCACCGTTCAGGGGAGCGGGGCTGTGGCGGCGGGGGAGGGGACGAGCGTGAGAGGAGAGCTGTGGTCCTGCGACTCCGGTCCCGGGCGGACGAAGACCGGCCAGACCCGGTAGCGGGGAGCATACACCGAGGACCGAGCAACACCGGGAATAAAAGACTCTGGGGCTGGGGCTGGCACTTAGAAGGAGGCCGACTCTCTGGCAAAGAGTATAGCCCCCCAAGGCCGAAAATGAGTTTGCTATTTGAGTCCATTTGGGAGCCAAAGTATTTTAGTATTGTCAAGCAGAACCCCAATAAATAGCAATGGAGTGCAATTTAGTTGTTCTTACGATTAGAATGGGGTAGGAGCATAAGACACGTGAGCCCTCCTGCAGGTTAGAAGTGGATTTTTAATGCAGAGAGGTGGATTTTTTTTTTCTTTTTACCTCCTAGTGATTTTTGTCCAAATAATATTAACTCGTCAATTATATCACCATCCAGCCATTACTTTTAAATAAGTTACAAAACAGTATAAAGCACTGAGCCTGGATGAATGGATTTCAGATTTGTAAAGAATATGTTCTCCAAGAAGGTATCAAACATCAAAATATAAGCAAGAAACCATTCATATTGAACAAATTCATGTATTTTTAAACACCCACATTCATTTATTTACATACTTATTCACCTGAAAAATCACTCGCAAAAATAAAACGATAAAAAGTTAAGTCTTAAAAAGAAAGGAGGGAACAGTTCTGCCCTAAATTCTAAACTGAGGAAAGTTACTGAAATAGTCTTAGGGCTGCTCTCCAAGTAGCCAACACCATCCCCCCCAGCCCTCCCCCCCCAAAAAAGAGTGGGGGAGGAGGGCTCTTTAATATTCGCTGTTTTGTAATAGGAAGTATACCACTTGGTCTGCAGAGGTTATTTCTCCCTAGTTTTCAGGGTCTTTATATAAAGGACATGGAGCACCGTAGTGGACTGTTTCATAAATGGCAGCTTAAAAAATGCAAACACATTCTACACATGGCTATTATACTGCTCTATAGAAAAATGCCAGAGGCATAATGTCATAATTCTGTTAAGGTGATTCTAGTGTACAGATAAGGATCGAGGGTGTGTAGTTCTGTAAACTGACTTGACACCAGGATTAGAGGCTGGGAAATCCTGAAACACAGAGGAGAACATTCCTCTTGAGTAACAATTGTTTCCTACAGGTTTTTGAGACAGATACTTTTTAATTACATAGGTTTACTAGATACCCAGTGAAACCCTTGGACTAAAACCTCATGAAAAGGCAGAAGTGTCACAATGTATTATTTACAGGATTATGTTTTCCTGCTTCCTGGATTTGTTACCTTCAGACAGGGCATAATTCATTCAGTAAAAGGTCATTCTTTCAAAGTACTAATCTTCAAGGCTGTGTTAGCTAGAAGAAGGAAAAAAGAGAGAGAGGGAGACCCAGTTTAGCTGCAGAGCAGGGCTAGAGGTAAACAAACTGTCACCATTGTCTCCATATGCCATCACTCAGGCCTTCTGGATGGGAGCCCTTTGAATGTAAACCTAATAAAAGTGTAAAGAACATTGTTGAGAGTGGAGGAGAAAGCATATGCAAAAAAGAATGTGGTGTGTAAAGGAAGAGAGTTCTTATTACACTGAAAATAGATGAACGACCAGGCATTCAGAGCAGGAGGAATTAGAAAGAGTGAACAGAAAATGAGCTGCTTTAAGGAAAAATTAAGAAAGATGTATGTCATCACTGAAATAGAAATGTTAGAACGAGACCTGCTTCCCACTACCAGGAAAGACTACTCTCCCAAAATACCCATGTGTGGAAGAATATAGCCCTGGTGTTATTCCTCTCAGCCCTGAGAGCAGTTGTTCTCAACGAGTTGGTTTGACAGTGTCTGGAGAAAAAGGTGGTCTCACTGAGAGCAAGGTGTTACTGGCATCTAGAGGGTAGAGGCCAGAGATGCTGCTAAATACCCTACCAAAGTGCTCAGCTTGAGAAACTGCATCAATGATTAGTGTCCTATTTTTTTCTAGCTAGTAAGGCTTTCTGTGTTATCACAGTTTCTGGATATGAGGCCCAAGCATTTGATATTTATTGAAATATAGGTGGCTTGGATGCTGTATGTGTGACAGAAAGACCGGTTTAGAGGGTAAATGGAGACATAGTTCCCTTTTTCTTTTAACATAAAATAATTAGTAAGATATAGATTGCTTTGAGTTGTTTCAAAGATGTCAAATAGTGTGCCGAGTCCCAATAATTTGCAGCACTATTTTACATTCCACTCTATTCAAATTTTGTGCTGCTTAATTTTTTAGCACTGGTTGAATTATTTTTATAATAGAGTATAATATTGAATCATTAAATTGTACTTTTATTTTAATTGTACTTTTAAAATGGAAGCTAAAATCCCTTTAAACTGTGAACTAAAACTTTAACATAAAAGTTCTCCTTACTTGGAGGCCTTAAGGAGGACCTAATAAAACCTCGTTTTAACTGCCCTGGCTGGTTTGGATCTGCAGTTAGAGCGTCGGCCCTCGGACCAGAGAGTCCCAGGTTCGGTTCCTGCTAAGGGCATGTACCTCGGTTGCAGTTTTTCCCTGGTTCTGGTTGGGGTCATGTGGGTGGCAGCCACTCGATGTGTCTCTCTCATCGATATTTCTCTCTCTCTCCCTCCTGCTCTATCTGAAGATGAATGCAAAAAAAAAGGTCCTCGGGTGAGGATTAAAAAAAAAATTCTTGTTTTAACCATTTCCCATACCCCCAACCCTGGCTGTGCCCAGAAAAAATAAAATAATAAATTTAGTTACCTAGGATAAATGTGGAGGGACCGGGAAAATGTATAAATTTGACCTCTTTCAGCCAAAATAAACCAGAGAAAAATATGTTTTCTCATCAAAGATCTGATTGGGGTAGGTTGGTTATCTCTTTTCAGTGGAGAAACGCCCAGAACAGTAAGTCCAGTATGACCTGGCAAGAACTCCGCTCCAGGCCCAATGTTGTAATCTCTGAAATAATTCTTTTCCATGAACAAGTTCATGCTTTTTGTATGTAATGCTATATAGAAATCTAATTTTTAAGAATTGCTTATTACGAGTTAGAGAATAAATTCAAGAGTAGCAAACCTTTTACATTTCTGATTTGGGATTTTTCAAAACTAAAATTGGGCATTAAATATTTTTTCATAAAGAAAAGGTCATTTCTATTACTATTTCATTAAGGAAGAATGGAAAGCAGTCAAAAGCTATTGGCTTTATGTGTGCTGATACATATAAATATCCTGATTTGGATCTCTAAGATGAAACAGTCCAAGGTCAAATACTGGACGACAAAAGTTCTCAGGTGATTCTGACAGTTCATATAAGTTCTAAGTCCTAGTTCTGTCACCTGTATCTTCAGTTTCTTAATAAATAATACCAATCTTTAATTTTTACAAATTCCTACTTAAAGGCTTTGTGGACTAATAAGTACTTTAACTGTACTCGTTAAACTAGAAACCCACAAATCCTGAGCTGTTTGGGTAGCATATATTGTACTTATAGTGTCCATCTTCTCAATGATTAATATTGTAATGGTTTGAGTTTAAGTAATTCTTAGAGCTTAAAGTGCACCCAGGATATAGATTTCTCAACACATAGGAATTAACCATGTTTGCAAAGAAAGAAATAATACTGTTTCTGCATAATTTTTTTTCATTTTGACACGGTATTTTTCAAAGCACAGTGGTAAATGGGCTACATTTGAGAAATAAGGGTACTTTTCTTAGTATATTGAAGTGATTTATAAAAACTTCAAAGTAAATAAAGTTTACTATGAAGTCCCTAAATTTCTTACTAAGAAGTCCCTAACTTTCTTACTAATGTGTGTATATTAGAGAAAACATTGGCTAAAATTGTTTAAACTATTATAAATTCTTTATTTCTAATTGAATATTCTATAATAATAAAGATTAAAAATCTTGTTACTAAGTAATTTACTCTTTTTTTGTTTTGTTTTGTTTTTTATCCTCACCCCAGGACATTTTTCGATATTTTGTTCAGATAGAGTGGGAGGGAGAGAGAGAGAGAAACATCAACGTGAAAGGGACACATCGAGTGGTTACCACCCACGCGACCCAACCAGGGCCAGGGACAAACTGCAACCAAGGTACATGCCCTTAGCGGGAACCGAACCCAGGTCTCTCTGGACCGCAGGCAGTAATTTACTCTTAATAGCTATTTGCTCTTAGAAATCAGTTTGATATAATTTGGACCATGGTGGATTTTGTTTTCATGACTCCTAATACAGTTCTGTGGGCAGACATTATGTTGAACTAAGGCAGTGGTTCTCATAGCATCATCAGAATCACCTGGATGGCTTAATAAAAGAGACTGCTGGGCACCAGTCCCAGAGTTTCTGATTCAGGAGGTCTGGGAGGAACCTAAGCTTTGGCGTTTCGAGGAAATTCTCAGGTGATGCTGCTGCTGCTGATATGGGAACCACTAAACTGTGAGACTCACTAAATTTTGAGACCCATTGAACTATGATGACCAAGAAGATTGCTGAAATTACTTGAGCTTGAGGAAGGATCAGGCTTCCAATTTTTTTGTGTGCCGTTTAAAAATTATCATTTTAATATTACACCTTTGTTCTTAGAGAGTGCACTTTTCACCAAAATTACTGAGAACTTAAATTCCGAATGATTTTGGTAATAGATATTAACATAATACTATAAGGTTAAATAGGATGCCGAAATTAAACCATGTAAATAGCAAACGTACATTTTAAGTTCTGAATTATAATAGTGTGATTACTAGTTAATCAAACAAATGGGTACTTAAATATTTTCTTTTAGAACACAGTGTATTGATGAACATTTTTATCAGGGCATGGGATCCTGTCTTGTTGAAGTGAAAAAGAGCCTTTCTAAATGAACTAAAAGATATCATTTTAACTTGACCACTTCTCCCAGTTTTTCTTAGGCAGATTTCTTGAGTCCTAGTTGGTAATGTTTCTAACTTAATTTCCAAAAATTAAACTTGACACTATTCCACACCCAGTAGGTGATTGAAAACTATGGCATCATTGCAGTCTTCTATGTAGTAGTCAAAGCAGAGTTATTGACAGATCATCTGCTTTCATAGGTGACAGGATATAGCAAGAGAAAATGAACCCAGAAAATAAAGAGCAGGTAATGAGATGCAGTCACCAGTGATTTCTGCAGCTTGTCATATACCTCGGTCAGAGGACAAAGGAAAAGGCAACACCCTTCTTATAATCTCTTCTTTCTAATAAGATCCATGGAACACTTGCATTATTGTTTCAGCCAGAGGTATGTTGCTATCCCTGCATTTAGTAAAGAGAGATAATGATGGTGTATTTTATAAATGACGAAAGGACTGCTTCCCACTGCTTAATGAGCAGAGCCAAAATCAGGCCGAGATCCTGCTAGTCCCCGCTCCTGAAGAATAGTCCCTCCTAAATTGCTTAGAGTTGGTCCTACTTGACATTGGGTAGAATTCCTATTCTGTACGAAGTTTATGTTCTTTAACCTCTGTGAATGTTTACTATTAATGAAGGTAATACACATATTTTCCTGTGTGTTTTGTTTTTATGTTCTAGGAGAAGACTGATGTGGAAGGAACCTTATTTGTTTACACAAGGTAAGAGTACTTTACTTTCATAAAGAAACTGACAGTCATTCTTTAGTTTTATTTCTAAGAAAAGTAAAACAAATGAATCTTAGTTTGACGTTTTTAGTTGACATAAGGAATACTAAATAATGTGAGACATACTAATTTCAGAATAAAATTTAAACTTCCATATAGATGAACTTAAATCTTTGTGTGTTTTTAAAAGTAGTATTAAATGTTTATTCTTTAATTCAAATGAATGGTACAAAGTTCTTGAATATAATGCACAGCAGTAGTACATTATTAAGAATATTAGATTATTTAATCAATATTTATAAAAGGGTCTGGATATTTATCTTTTAAATTTTTATTTTTCAATTACAGTTTACATTCAATATTATTTTGTATTAGTTGCAGGTATACAGCAGAGTGGTTGGACAATCATGTACTTTACAAAGTGTCCCCCCCTATATTTCTAGTACCTACCTGCCACCATACACAGTTACTACAATATTATGGACTCTATTCCCTGTGCTCTACTTTACACCCCCGTGACTATTCTGTAACTGCCAATTTGTACTTATTAATCCCTTCACCTTTTTCACCCCGTCCCCCAACCACCCCGCCTCCTCTGGCATCCATCTGTCTGTTCTCTGTATCCAAGTCTGTTTCTGTTTTGTTTATTTATGTTGTTCTTTAGATTCCATATGTAAGTGAAAGCATATGATACTTGTCTAAATATTCCACATCCAGTAGGGCTTTATTGATGTTTCCCCCACCACCCTTGACTATTTAAAGAAGAATGATCCAAAATTAAAGATGGCTAAGTCCTCCATTATTTATCTAATAAAATATGTTTCAGGATAGATTTACTACATTATTTATTTTAATTATGAATATTTTAATTATTAATAATAAGCTCATGTTATTAATAATTTATACCAGATATTTTTACTGTCACACATGCACGTGGAGACATATAGTTTGTGTACTGTCTAAATAGCTGAGCTTTCTATTCATATAAAGTGTCATAGCTGAAGTCCATCACCATCAGTGAGGGTGCACAGATAAATACAAAGGCCTGGTACAAACCCTTCCAAGGCTAACAGTTTCACTGGGGAGGCAGAAAACACACACAATCAAGTATATTTTTTACATACACGCTCACATTTTCTTTTGTTTTTTTCTTTTGGTATATGCCCCTAGCAGGAACCAAACCCTGGGACTCTGGTCCGCAGGCTGATGCTCCAACCACTGAGCCAAACCGGCCAGGGCACACACACACTCACATTTTAAGATAGACCACAATGCAGATAGACTACCTTAAGTGCCAGTTGATAGGTTCTAAGCAGTGAATGGGCTGCTGAGGTTGTGGAAGGCTCTATGGAATGGTGAGGCTGGAGTCAGCCTCAGGGAGAAAGGTAGGACTGCAATTGCATAGAGGAGAGGGAAGGGCAGTCTCAACAGCGAGGATGGCACAAGCGGAGGCCCGGGGCCTGACGTGGTAGAGGGGCAGCAAGGAAGATGACTGGTGCAGAGAGTTTACATGGGCTTATATTAGTTAGAAGTTGAGGGAGGGTAAAGCAATTTTGCTGGCTTGAAATGTCAGACCAAGGATTTTGAAATTTATTTTCTTAGCGATATGGAGTTGTTGAAGGTTTATGAACAGGGGAGTAATACAATTACAACAGAATGTGTGGGGGAAGTCAGTGTGTCAGCATTATGAGGATGCATTGGTTCTAGCGAGTTCGGGGAGGACATGGAGAAGATGCTCACAGTGGATAGGAGATGATGAGAGTGAGGACCAGGGGGATGGAGATGGAATAGAAATGTCTTACTGAGATACTTATTTATGTATAGAGGGAATGGTGATGTTTTAAAAAATCACATTAAGATTTTGAAATGGAAGACTGAGAGAATGACAATTATTGGTGGAATGGAAAAATAGGTCAAGAATCTGGTTTGAGGATAAATGTTAGTTTTATTTTGAAGTAATGATTTGGTGTGATAGCAGGACTTTCAGATGGAGCTGTCCAGCCACGCAGGGAGGGTCAGGGCTGAAGACACAGAGTTTGGAGTCATCTGCATCAATTTGCTCATTAAAACTGCGAGAGAAAATATGTTCTTTGAAAGAGAAAGAGGGAACTGAGGAAGGCTAATGGTTGATTTTAAAGCCAACCAGGAGACCGAGAAGAGTCAGCCATAAAGATGCAAGCAAAGCTAGAAGAGTGCGGAGGGCAGCTGTGGGCGCAGCACAGGGACGCACAGTGTGTGCAGGTGGGAGCAGCAGTGGGAAGAAAGGGCTGGACGGGCAAGGCCCGCAGAGCAGGTAGGGGTTCGTTTATTCAGTTTCAGAGAAGGGGGGGCAAGAGTCGTTGGCTGTATTAGCTTACATTGTGGGCCAAAACACTCCAAACGCATGGGCGCACACACCAAGTGAGCTTATTCAGGGGAAACCACTCTGGAGAATTCTGAAGTGTGAAAAGAAAAGCAAACAATTGAACTCTACTGTGTGCCAAGCACACAATATGCATTCTCATTCATTTCTCAAAACAAGCATTATGCTTTTGAGAAGTAAAAGAAAAGGTATTAATATGCATTAATGATTTATTTTAGGGATTTTTAGTAGGGTTATTTTATTTTATTTTAATTTTTAGTGTACTCAAACCAAATGTAGGTTTGTATTCTCAAGTATTTCTTAATTTACTTGGAGTTCCTAGTGGAGTTGACAGTTAAACAAACCATTAAACTGAGAACCAAATCCTTCTCTATTTCTTGATCTCTTCCTCAAATCTAACTCAGCGATAGGAGCCCCTCCTACCCCCGCCCAGCTTCCCCCAGCACTCGCCCTGCCAGGCCAGATCCTAGTATGTCGAGGTCTTTCCTTCGTAGAGAATGACAGAAAGTTTATAAAAATCAAAAGGGAGTTTTGGATACAGGTAATGAGGCTGCCAGTGATGTATTTTGCTTTGTACCCATACTATTAGAGAGGTTAATGAAATACTGGAAGAGTCAAATTCTGATTATGTGTAAAAATACCTGATTCTATTTTTAAAATCATTTTTTTCCTCTTTATTTTCTCCCATGTCTTCCGTTCTGTAATAGAGTTCATAGAGAATCCACTGGTATTTCTGAACTTGACTCTTCTAAAGGACTCTGTCAGAGATCTTTGGAAGTGAATTTTCATTCTTCCTCAGAATTTGAGTTGACATGATTATCATGATTACGTCTAGTTTAGATTATAAGCCTACCACCACTTTACTTCTCTGTAAAATAAATTAGACAAGAATAGCCTTCCATCAATTTTAAAGTTGGAAGGCTCAAAAGGAAATTCTGTATATGGTAATGTACCTGTATTTACTTATTTTTCGGCATCAAATCAGATATCAAGTTTCTATCAAACTAATATATAAAAACCTTTTCTTCCTATTGCTCATGGCGCATCTATGGGTTTGTAACCCTGGAGCCCAGTTGAAAGTGAACAAATGAACTCTGCTGCTTTCACTTTCGGTGCGTGGCACGTGGGGTTTCATTCGTCACAGAGGCTGCTGCCCAACGGTAGACAAATGCAAATGTAGTTATTGGAGTTAATACTCTATAATTTGTGTTCTTTCTGCCTGATGGAGAGTAGGCACTGAAGGTTTATTGAATAAAATGAAAAATAAAAAGTCACCAAATGCCACATTTTTAAGGAGAAAAACTTTATAGTGGTTTATCTATGAAGCTTTTGCTTTAAAGAAAACAAAAGATCTGCTTTGTTCATTAAATTATATGAACTTTTTGTTTTGTTTTTTTGTTTTTTATTTATTTTAATTAATTTATTTTTGTTACAGATGTTTCTCCTTTCTTCCCCATTGACACCTCCTCGCCATCCCCCACCCACCCTGTCCCCAGCTTTGTTGTCCGTGTCCATCGGTTACTCATGCATACGTGCATATGAGTTCTGTGTTTTATCTCTTCCCTCCCCACCACCCCCTCTTCGGAGGATTGTCAGTCTGTACCCTACTTCCACATCTCTGGGTCTCCCTTGAACTTTTAATTATACTGTATTTCCTCACCAGTTCATTGACCAGAGCTGATCATTTCTTTAAAAAGTTTCACAGCTTTTCATTTCAGACCAACACCAAGATTTTCTGTGAAAATTTTCTTTATGTAATTGTGATATGCACTCTGTATTAACCATCATATAATTTTTTTTTTTTTTATCCACACCTGAGGATATTTTTCTATTTTTTCTTCAGGTAGAGTGGGAGGGGGGGAGAGAGAGAGAGAGAGAGAGACATCGATGTGAAAGGGACACATCGAGTGGCTGCCACCTGCTTGACCAACCAGGGCCAGGGACAAACTGCAACCGAGGTACATGCCCCTAGCGGGAACCGAACCCGGGTCTCTCTGGACCGCAGGCCGACACTCTAACCGCTGAACCAAACCGGCCAGGGCCATCATATAATTTTTTAAATAGTAATTACCATCTTCTCCCTAAAGGAATTTACAATCTAGGTAGGGAAATATGATATATATATTTAAATAAGTAGGATTTGATTTTATCAAAGGGTCAGTAGTGACAGTCATGCTGCATTGTTAGATAAAGTAATACGTTAGTGCTGTTAGCTCCTAGTAAGGAGTCATTGCTTTATACATGTATGCTTGCACAAAGCTGCATATACATGCAAAATAGTTGAAGACATGTTCGAATGTAGTTATGCTAAACGTATACTATACTGAAAACTTGTCTTTTGATGTCCTCCCCACCCCTTGTGATTCTTAGGTCTGCTTCTCCAAAGCATGGCTTCACCATTATGAACAGGCTAAGCATGGAAAATAGGACAGAACCTATTACTAAAGACCTGGATTTCCAGCTCCAGGACCCCTTCCTTCTCTACAGAAATGCCAGATGTGAGTGTTTCTTGATGCACAGTGTATCTTTGTGTTTGTGTTTTAAGTGATTCTGGGGGTCAGCACTGGTTAGCTTGGGAAATGCATGCCTAATTGAGGGAATAGCTTCTTCCGTGGGAAAGTACATGAAAACAATGTGAATATGATGATATAAGTGTTCGAACCCTGTCTTCTGCAGTGAGACCCTTTGTAGTGTGAACCCATTGGAGATGCTAAGCCTAACCAGGGCTGGACGAGGAGTTTTTGCTCAGGAGACCGCAGAGGGACACATAGGCGGTGCTGTAGAACAAAGAATTAATGATTCAGCTGGTGGCACTCTTTTCTTGTGTGAGCCTTCTGATAATATGTTTTGTGGAGAGGAGCAATATTCTAGAATTACTATCTTTTGAAAATATCATAAATTAAAAATCAAAGTCCAAAGAGCTTTGGTCATTAAGAATTCCATAACACTTTGTAATGTTGAAGTTATATTAGGTAACTAAATGGTCCTTGCCAGATTTGAAATGAGGTAGCAATCGACTGTCCAGTATTCTGTCTATTATACTCTTGTATCTTATCTGACCACTTGTGTTGGAGTATTGGACAGCCCAGAGAAAAACTGATGGAAATATATAAACTTCAAGAGCCTCAACGTGTGTTTGTGCACGTACATGCTCTGTGCTCTGGATAACTTTCAGGAAGACCTTGCGGTTAAATCTTTCCATTCATTTTCCACCCTGCTCTTTGAGCTCAAGATACAGTTTGCCTACTATATACTATTCAGTGTAATCTTAATAATGAATGTAAGACAAGTGATATTGAATGTTATAACTCCAATGAATTGTTTTGAAGTGAATATAACATCCTTTTAATGCTGTTTATTTACAATCATATACATATAATTAAGTTACTATGATAGGTGGTTATCCTATTATTTAGATATTATGGTTAAGTTCTTATGAGAAAAAAATGAAAGCTATTAAAACTGTAACTTGATTTACTAATAGTAAATCTTATGAGTGAAAATTTAGTAATATAGAGAAGTATTTGTTTTTATTCCTATTTCTTTGCTGGAAGGTGTAGTTTCCTCAGTTGTAGCTTGTAGTTTGAATTGTTTGTATGGTTATAGTAATGTCAGGTTTTAGTTTCTTTTTTGAGATTATTAGATTCTATGTCAAATTAATATATAATTCAAATCCTAGTAAACAAAATAGCCACATAAATAAATATAAAATAAGAGAATATTAGTGACTTAAGTAATCATTTTTGGTAGCTTTTCCTTTGGTTAAATACATGGTCTAGTTAGTACAGATAATATTTTAAGTTCTTATTATAATATTACATATATATTATGTACTTATACCAAAAATGTAAAAATGTTCTCTTTAATGTGGTTGATTTTAAAATTAACTTTCCTAAGGCCCATTGGATTTATCTGATAAGTAATGCTGTTTGGATCTCATGAACACATGGTAGGCCTCACGCTGGTTCCAGGCAGTGCTGTCCAGCATGGTGGTCCAGCTGCACGTGGGTACTGAGCACTGGAAATGTGGCTTAGTCTGAACAGGGCTGTGCCATGAGTGTAAAATACACATTCATTTTCAACGGCAATACCAAAAAAATGTAAAAAAGCTCAATAATTTTATATTGATTTACTTGTTAAAATAATATTTTAAATATATTGAGGTAAATAAAATATGTTATTAAAATTAATTTCACCTGCTTCTTTTATTTTTTATTTAAAATGACATATGTGGCTCACATTTGTGGTTCACGTTATATTTCTATTGAACGGCAATGTCCTAATCATTTTCATTTATTTTACCATTTTTTATAATCACAACTTTGTAGGGTAGATGTTTTCACTGCCATTTTGCAGATGAGCAAACTGAGGCTCAGTGAGGGGACAGCTGACAGATACCCACAGCTTCTGACTTTCATAACTTTTTCTTGGAAATACTAATATTTTTGTTTTATAAATGAGAAAACTGAGGTTAATTGGATTAAGTGATTTGCCGGGGATATTTGGAGATGGAAACAGCATTTGAACAGAGAAAGCCTAGCTTCAAAAGCCCAGGCCCAAGCGGTAAAAATACTAACACATGAATGATGTGTTGGAGCAAGGTTTACTTTGTAAGAAATACTTAATCTTTTTAGTGTATGCTCCATTGTTTAAAAAGCAAATTTCTTTTTTAAAAAGCTGAGAATCTGTTGTATCGCAGTTATTAGAGAGGTGACTATCAAATAAAAACTAATGTAGCAAAAAGCTGAATTTGACCATTTTTTACATATTATTTCCCTTTAGTAACCTTTTACTAGTTTTTCATTTCACAATTAATTAAGATTTTGGTAAATGGAGATATATTTTAGAAATATTTTCCTAAATATATAATAATATTTAAGATAAGTTATAGACAGCAATGACAGGCAGATTTCAGATCTAGCCCAATAGGTTGAATATATCATTGTCTTCTTACAAGATTAGAATGAAATTCTTTTGAGTTATTTGATTTCATCGAAGACGTAAGCCTGGATCTTAGAGCAAGTTATAAAAGACAAAATCAAGATACTTAGAATCAAAGCTGTTTTAGAAAACTCCTCCTCAATTTTAGTGAATTTACCATATTGGGTAGTTTTGTATTAAAAAAGAAGTACAATTTAAATTCTTTATTGCTATTTGTAGGATCTGGGAAAACCTGCTATAAATAATGGGAAATGGTACACTGAAAAAAAATGATAGTTACAGACAGTTCTTATCTTTCAAATAGGCCATGTCCTAGAAGTTCCCTTTCAAAGTGATTGGTGGAATTTTAGTTATACATGACAGATTGAACACATTCCTGAAACTATAGAAATGGCAGTAAAGGGGAAAAAATATATAAACCCACAAGAGTGGTGAATGCATTTCATGAAAAAGAGGGAGTAAACAAGAAAGAAAGAGGTAGAGATGTTATGATAGCTTTATTGTTCACAATTATTAACTGTGTCTTTGCAGAAGATTTTATCCTTGTTCTATTGATGTCAGACTTGACTATATGATTTGGTTCCCTGCTCCCCGCCCCCACACTAACCCCACCAGAAGGATATTATGTGGTTACCTATTGAACTCAAATATGAATCAATTGCTTTGGCCAATGTATTGAACTCAAATATGAATTAATTGCTTTGGCCAATGAAATGTGGGTAAGAATGATATATGTCACTTATAAGCACATACTTTAGGAACCAGCTCATGATTCATCATGGCTCATTTTCTTCTTCTGTGATGACTAACAGTATTCTAGACAGAGGCTGCTCTATCAGCCTGGATCCTGAAATGAAAATAACATGGCACAGAGGTAAAGGCAGCTCATGATGAAAATGTAATATCTATTAGAAATAAACCTTTGTCATTGTAAGCCATTGAGATTGTGGGGTTGTTTGTTACTGCAGCATAACTTGGGCTATTGTGACTGATACACAAGCCATCCAAGAAAAAAGGGATCCAAACATAGCATGGAGGTAAAGACATTCTAAGAACGATGATAAAGAGAAGGCCCATAATGACTCCTGTGCAATTAAACTAAAGATCATTCAGTATAAATTAAAGTAAAAGGATGAAGGGCTTCAGGAAGGGTGTCCAAGGAAAAAATTACAACTGATAGTTTGAATCTATTGAAACATTTTCAGTTCCTTTTAAAGAATGTTTGATGATGGTAAAGGAACATAGAAAACTGAGCGGTGAGGAAGAACAATAACAAAATGAGGCTATTCTTAATTCCTGGGAAAACAAAATATTGTAAAAGAAAGGAAATATAATAGTATACTATATGGCTCTGCAGATCATAACACTTCATTAAATTACAAACACTGAATATGAAATTGTATTATGCTGGGAGTATGGGGGAAAGTTTGTGTGTTTGTGGGAGTAGGTAAATATTGTCAGAGAACTAAATCCTCCTCAATGGATTTTAAAAATCAAGAAGTGTTATACATGCTATATAGAAAAAGGGATTTAAACACCAGAAGAAAAGCTAGATGAGAAATAAACAGAGCGCAGAAAGAACTGTAATTAAGGTTGTTTTGGAGGAGCAGTAATTAGGAAAGTATTGGCTAAAGAAGAGTTCTCTGTTTTTATAAATCTTATAGTATTTAACTTTTAAAAGTATGTACATGCATTATTTTGATAAAGATAAAATTTTAAAATGTAATTGTATATCAATACATTCATAAAAGCAATATTTTAATTGGCAGTTAGGTTTTCAAGTCAACTCATGAGAGCCTTTTTAGCCCATTGTACACCTACCTAAAAATAGCATACTAGCATTATAATGATATACCTATGAAATATAGCACTAGTATGTATAGCATTATTTCTGTAAGAAAATTTATTCAAGAGTAAAATTTGTGTAGACCCCGAGAGTGTAACGTCCTTAGCAGCTGGGCAGAGGACTTCTAGTGCCCATTTATAGTAATCGATCATTATAAAGCTAGGTATTCCTATACATTGCATGTTAGCACATGGTAATAGTACAGTAAACTTTGAAGCCTTCACAGCCTGTCACTGAACCTCAGTCCTGCCTTGGTTCTGCAGTCCTGTATTGCTCTGTCCTCTTTATTCTCACATGCATTTCCCTTCAGGCTTTCACTGCCTGTTACTTGCGGTATTTCATAACTCCTCATAACAAAATGATATAAGGCTTCTAGCATCAGCCAAAATAGCGTAAGTTCACTACAACATATCTATCTATCCCACTGGTTACAACTAAAAGTTCTGGGTAGAATACACCCCTCTCCAAAAACAAATGCTACCTGAGGATTCTGAAAGTAAGCAACAACAGGCATACTGGGAAAGGAAGTCAGAACCTGAAGGACAACCAGTATGGTGGTGAGTTTCCTGATTGTCTTCTTTACTTCTTTATCTCCTGGCTTTGACTCATGAGCGGACCAAGTCACAGAACTGTGGACAAGAACAACAAAAAGCAAGAGAAGCCTGTCTTTCTCGTCTGAGGACTAGAGAAATCGACTCCTGTGCGTTACAA